GTATATTCAATTTTGTTATTTTTAATGACTTAGGGTCTGATTGAAAAAATTAAGAGGTTTCTACAATTTTATTTTGAGAGAGATTACCATCAGTCAATATCATATATACAGAAAACAAATGAAAAAAATGATTTTTTTTCCAAAAATGAGTTATTTCTGTGCAGCAAAAATGGTAGCTAACCAAGAAAAAGTAAGGTCATTTTCAGATTCAGCACCCTCAAATTAGCTAAAAAGGATGTTTGGTGTCTCAACACCATTTCAATTTTTTTTTTTTTTTTTTTTTTTTTTTACCAGAGTTATCTTTCATTGTTTTCCATATTAAAAAGCAATGCTGAGAAATTTGTGATAGTTTCTCCAAATGTTACTCAATTGAAAATTTCAGTGAAAAGGTTTCCAAAAATACAGTAGAAATAATAAAATTGCTAAACCAAGAAACTTTTATTCTGAAAGTTTTCATCAAAGCTGAACTGCCAGGCTCCAGGAATTTCAAACCAATTTTCATCTGGATAAATAGTATAGGTATGTAATTTTGTTACTAAATTACTACTTCTCTCCCTCTTCCTCTCACTCTCTTTTTTTTTTTTTTCAATGGTTTCACCCTTTAAATGGCGGGCATCATCGACTGATGTTTCATTGAAACTTAGCAGATATCATTAATTGATTATTTAAACTGTTTCTGACAATACAGGCTTTATTCATAATTTGAGTCTAAATGACTAACTGGCAACTTTAAGATCTGTTAAGTTGCATCATTTATTGGCATATTTGCCTGCAAATAAAACTGGAAGGATAAGCCAAATACAGTTTTATATCTGTATACTTTTCAAAGAGAAAAGAGTCAAAAAATGGTGACAATTTGGTGCAAAAGAATACACACCTATCTTATGTATGGAATACTTTAAGGGCTATTATACCACTAAAAATATTAACTTTAGGAACCTAACTTTTATTTTATTTACCTCTTCTATTTTTCTAAAAGAGTTACAATAGAATTTTTCTACTTTTTGTAAATAATTAAACTGAAAATAAGCATAAAATATAACCTTTAAAAAATAATTTTCTCCATTTTTTTTTTTTTTTTTTTTTTTTCCCATTTCACATCCACATTTGTGCAACATTCTCCCGCCATTTAAGAGTTAACTATTAAAATTTCAATGAGATTTTTGTTTACCCATATTTTTCCTAAGAGTTTATCTTTTGAAAATAGAATGATTAATCTATGCCCCAATATAAAACATTTTAGTCAGTACAATTAAAGTTAAATAAAAATTAATTTCATTTTCTTTTTGTGACTGTTTTTTGTTTTGTTTTTCATTTTTTTTTCAAAAAATGCATTCTAATAAACACATAGTGTGGAAACATTTTAAAATAGGACATATAGGTTATATGTGTGTTAAAATTTCAGAGAGAGAGTATATCTGTAAAAGGGCTATGAACAAAGACAAAAAGACAACTAAGCCGATGTGTTTCATCTTCTGAGACAAATGCAAGGATTTTATTTTGTAATAAGTATTTATATAAAAGAGCAAAAATGTTATTGGTTTTTCAAATTTCTTTAAAGTTTAGGAATAATCATAAATATTCATCAAGTTAGCTTGAAAGTCTAGCAATCTATGGAGGACATGATATGACATAATTCAATGTCTCATAAGAGAAAGTGAATAAGTGATATTTTAAAAAAATTTTTTTCTTATTTCAAATTACTATTTAAATTATTTTACTTTTGGATTAATTTATGTTATATATTTTGAATAACATGAAGTTAAGGATTTAACCATTTTCTTTCAATTTTTTAACATATTTGTAGTCATGTACGTTGGCTTGGGAAGGGAGTAATTCTTTCAGGAATGGAGATATTTGAAAAAATCCAGGGCATAGATTTATTATTTGATAAGATTTGATAGTGGCACTCTCAAAATTTTTGAAAACTAATAACATTTTTGTTCTTGTATATAAATATTTGTTACAAAATAAAATCCTTAAATAAAAATAAATAATCCTTAACAAAGTCCCCCAGCTAAGGTAAATTTTGTTTTTGTCTTTTTTTATATATATATATATATATACACACACCAATTAAAGTCGAGAGTGCTGATGGATTTCCTAAGAAAACTGTCACTGTGTTTATTTCCTTTTTTTATGGAAGAGCAAAGAAACTGTTAAATAAGAAGTTGTCCAAGATTGGTCTATAAAGGCCAGAGTATTTGCAGTGCATTAAGGCTATATTATGAGAATAGTTGTAGCTGACAGATGGAGCACAAGTCAATATCGAATCAGTATCGACTGTGTCACTATAGATATGATATTGTAATCCCCTAATGAGCCTCGGCTAAAAACATCACTCATGATATGTGCTAAGGCATCAAACAGATGTATTTCATGAATGTGTGTATATATATATATATATATATATATATATATATATATATACACACATACATTAAAAGAATATTCTAGAATGATAGAGCAATATCTTAATATACACACACATGCATTTATATATATATACATATATAAATAAATAAATGTGTGTGTGTGTGTATTAAGATATTGCGCAATCATTCTAGAATATTCTTTTAATCTAAAAAATATTTTGTCATATATTTTTAAAAAAGCTTCCAAAACAAAAACTGCTTCCAAGTGCTTAAAAATGATTTGTAACTTTTATATTTTACATTGTCTCCAGACCACTGCTCAACAGGCATCAAGTTGGATCTGGTCAAGATCCAAAATAAATAAAGTCAATTAAAACCGAACTAACAACACAATGCTACTTCCTACATGAAACATATCTGTTTATCTTCCATTACACATCATTGATAATGGTCACTACGAGTGCATTGTGTTTTGTTTAATAATCAAAAGCAAACATTTTATTGAACACAACGTTGGAAAATCTGACTTGCCGTTGCATAAAAATCAGAGAGACTTATATGTCTACAACAAAAAAACAATACCTGGTCCAGTAGCAAAAGCTGCTGGTGGCACCAGGGATGGCAGTCCCACCTTAGTCACTGAAACTGTGTTACCTCCCCTGGTTGGTGGCTGATGAGGGCAAGGTATCACATCTGCTTCCGCACTTTATATGTAGAAAATTGAATAATTATTTTAAATCTATTGTTTGAAATTAAAACGGAATCTAGAAACATAAAATTTTTCTAATCACTTCTTTCTTATCAATTTGTGTTTTTTACACAAAAAAAACATTTTATTCACTAGAAAAATTTTCCTCTTTCAATTATTATTCTTGTTTTGAAAATTTAAAAACATTTTTTCATTAAATCTTCATCCTGTTATTTTCAAATTATGCTAATTTAAAATAATTTTTCAATTTGAACATTTTGAGAATGAATGCAAATGTAAGAATGCCATCTTTTTGTCTTCAGGATGAGGAATATTGATAAAACTTTAATTTTAACTTTGTGACATTTTTATGCTAATGATATGGAACTTTCACAGTTGTAATGTATATAAGAGAAATCAAAGTTTTTACAAATGCAAGACTGACCGCTGGTCAATAAGGGCTAGCAAACCAGTTTAATTTTCATTATAAAATCTAAACTGTTTTTATTACATTAAAGATGGCAAGGTGAAAAGTGTCGTGATTGTATTGAGTTACAACAATCAGGAAATTATCACCACCACTCCCACCACCAAGGATAAATAGTATTCTTTCTCAAAGAAAGAAATGGACTTCTGGTTATTTAGAATGAAAATACCTTTAATTTTTTAGTTCTTCTTCATCTTCCCTTAGTTGAATTATGTGTTAATGAGCATCACTGATTTGGCACTAGGCTACAATATCAACTCTCCTCTACCACACCTTTAATTCTTAATAAAGGACTTTAGATATGTACTTTTATTTAAATATTCAAGTTTCTTTATTCAAGAGGTGTATGACCACATCACATTGAAACACTGGTTACTGCATGATCACCAAAGTTAAGCAATGTCAAACCTGGTCAGTACCTAGAAGGGTGACCACTTACAAATAGCATGTGCTGTAAGCTTAGATGCATGGGTGGTGTAATGGACAAGTTCAAATTCCAGTTCAGTTGGGTTTGTTATATTCACTCACAAATTCTTGGGAAAGGTATGAATCCACCTCTTCTTTCCCCAGCTATGGGTTAATTAGTAAGACTTGTATCACTAAGTCATTATCTCAAAAAAAAATTCTTACAATCTAAAATTATTTCCTGCCTTTAAATAACTTGCAAAGGGTCGATAAGCCATAAAAAACCAAATTAATATATTCAAGAGATACTTAAATTTCTAAAGTCCATTATTCAAGAGATATGTACTTTTATTTAAATTTTTAAAGTCCTTTATTCAAGAGATAAGTCATTTAAAAACTTAAAATCCTAACTGATTTCAAAGTAAATATATAGTTTAGTATATTCTAACAAATTTTGCAAATCACTTTTCTAATTAATTTGCTTTTCTCTCTCTCTCTCTCAGCTGACACGAGCCCACCACACCCACCTGCCAAACGGAAACAGAGAAAATCTATCTCATATGAAATGGTGCAAACAGCACAACGGATGGTTGCCCAAGGGAGAAAAACCAAAGAAATCCAGCAAATTCTCAATTTATCCAAAAACGCTACAATCAAATTGGTCAAGAAAATTTCAGAACAAGGAGATGGATTTCTCAAAAACTTCAATCCTAGCCCACAGAGGAAACAAACTTCTACAATTCGAGATCAACAAGTTAAGAAAAAAATTGAAATATATCTTGATGCTGATGCATCTATCACGCAAAACGGTATTTTAAAAAAATTGAAACAAGATGGAATTATTACAAGTCAGCCACAAATTTCCAGGATACTAAAATCCATGAACTATAGCCGAAAAAGATTTGTCTGTGTTCCAGAAAGCAAAAACACTGAAACTGTTTTAGACAATAAACGCATTTACTGCCAGATGATGTCTAGTGTTCCCGATGAATCCATAATTTTTCTAGACACTGTGCAAAGGATGCTTGAGAATTTCAATCCCGATATGAGTGCATATTTCCATGAAACAAAACGATGGATAGAGCAGGGTATTTGTAGAAATGTTTTGTAAATTGTATATTTTGTTTTTTTTTCTCGTCTATACTGATGTTGCTTTTGTGATGCCAACTTTACAAGTATTAAATATTATTTTTTAATCTTTTCTTTTTAGTAATATTTAACTCTACAAAAAAAAAAAAAACTATCTTTGTAATATTTCCCATTTTTATAGGCATGTCTCTCTCAATGCCACCATGAGCATTTGCTAGCAGTTTGCAAACATCATTAAGACTGGTGATTGGTCAGTTCATGAGGAACTTCTTAACTGTATCTATATTTCTGAGATGAGATATTATGTACACTATTTACATTGTTCAGACTATCATCCTCATCTTTGTTGCCATATTTATCACAATGTTTCGGCCGTTGTATGCTCCAGCCTTCTTCAGGTGGTTGGAATATCGAACTGATCCCTTTATTTCATTAGTTAAATCCAGTGACAGGACCCAAAGAGTGTGAGTTCAATACCTGGTTAAGGTGGTGGAGAACTTGGAGAGGGGAATTAACAGGAGATAACTGATAACTGACATCCATTAGACATGACACATTGAATTAGAACAGTCTACCCCAGTGAGCAAAATAAAGGGTTCAGTTCGACATTCCAACCACTTGAAGAAGGCCGGAGCATATAACAGCTGAAATGTTGTGATAAATATGGCAACAAAGATGAGGATGATAGTCCAGACAATGTAAATAGTGAATGAACTTCTTAACATTATTCACGAGGCTAAGCTTATGGAGGTGTCGATTGATGGTTCTTTGTGAAGGACAAAGTTCTACCGGCAATATTACGAGTGCTTGTGCTTGGATGTTGTTAAACACTTTCAAGCAAGGCCTCATCTTCCACAACAGAAGGTATCCTTGACCTTGTTTTGTCTTCAAGGCTGATGTTACCTTCCTTGAAATGTCTGAACCACTTTTGTGTCACATGTTCATTGACAGTTCATAAGGCCTTTCACATCATTAATTTCTTTTGCTGCTGCTGCCCTTGCACTCAGTCCTTTATTCCACGGGTAGCATAAAATGGCTCGAATTGCAATTTTTTCTCACTCATTATCAAATCTGTAAAATAAAGAATAAATGTTTATTTATGAAAATAAAAAATAAACAATTCGGCAACAATTAGACAAGTTGTATCAAATTAAGAATATAACATGGAGATACATGTTGCCAATCATCATCAGTGAAAATTTGAAAAACTTTGTCTCAACCTGCTATATATATATAACTTTAAATGTTATTTTTAGCAGATAATCGTATTTGAGTAGGCACTCTGTTTATTTATTAAACATTATATTTATTTATTTATTTTCATCTACCGGCCTGAATGTTTGAGAAATCTTATTAATGAAAAATTTTCCCTCCTTGGCAGGAATTAAACCTGAATCTCTCATCTTTCATCTTTTACTAATGCTGACAAACAAAATATGACTTCACTTTCTAAACATTTTTGGAAATTGAAAAACAAAAACAAAACACCTAAAATTAATTGGAAAATTCTTAAACAAGCCAGAATCTGTAGATCGTTGACTAAACTGTGTTTTCTTTGTCTACAGGAGAAAATTGAGACAATTAAACTCTTGAATAGCAATCAATTATTAAATCAGAGATATGAAACTACAGTGAATTGTAGGCATATTAAAAAATTAACCTTACACTCTTGTTAAACTTTATAACTCGATAATCACTACTCTTATGTTATATTACCTTTATATAAACATTTTAATATTATGCTTAGTGTTGTATTCTTGATTAATATATTAAATAGGTTAGTATTTGTAAGTTACTGGTAGTAAGGTTAGCCATGAATTGGCTTATAATTATTTTACTTGTGACGTTGTTTGATAATAGCTTTTAATGTAATATAAATATATAAAAGTCTGATAACTTTTTATAATTTATTATATAAATGTTTAAAATATATTTTAGTTTTTAATTTAAAATCTTACTTATTATAAAACGCAGATTGTGTGTGTGTGTGTGTGCGTCTGTACGTTTATATATTGGATCAGATTTCCTACATTTTTCAACCGATTTCAACAAAACTTCACAGGACTGCATAAAATTACCTTGCGGTGGTTCTGACAGCACCAAAAATTGGAAAAATGCAATTGTTTTTGCATGAAATCAATTTGAAAACACTTAAAACACAATTCTGTCACCAGAATGGAAGGGGGACAACTCATATCGAGTTATACTTATCATAAAACCCAGGTTGTTTGTGTGTGTGTGTTCGTTTATATATGGGATCGGATTTCCTACATTTTTCAACCGATTTCAACAAAACTTCATTTTTTTTTTTTTGGCATGTAGTGTTTCTTATTGTCTTGCACACTTTTTTCTTTATTTTTACATTCAGAATGCTTTAAAAATTCCATTTACAAGACAATTGTTTATAATAAAATTCTATTCAATCAATAGACTCATAACGATTGAAAACAATGTTTTTGTTTGAGTTTGGGTTTGACCAATTCGTAAAAAAAAACAAAAAAAAACTAATTAAGACATGCGTGTCCATCAACCTTAAACAATAATCTTTGTCAATTTTATTTTTCAGTCTTCATGATGGTCGATACTTGATCTATCTCTTACTGTTACATCCCCGGGCAATGCCGGCTCTACTGCTAGCAAATATATAAAAGTCATATAAATGTTTAAAATTTAATTTGTATTCTAATTTATAATGTAAGGTTGTTATAATTAAGTAGTTATTTTGTTTGTATCTGTTTTTTCTTCTTAAAGGGTCTTTCATTTACATAGTACTCTGTTGAATTTTGCTGGAATATATGATTTCATTCAAAATGTCATAAAGTTTAAATTGCAACATTGTATCTGTAATATATTTCCAATCTTGTGTTATATATTTCCATTCAGTTTTGAATTTTCCATTTTAACATGCCTTCATTGGTTAAATTTTGTGTCATCAACTTCTCATTTTTTATTTTCTTCTCTTTCCTTTTCACTTGTATCTGTAAAATTTGGATATACTACTCCTCTTCTTTTTCATTTCTTTTCTTTCTCTTTTCTTTGTAGTAGGGCTGATTTCTTATGCTTTTTATACCTTTCATTTTTTTTTTTTCCTCTTTCTTTTTCCTTTTATTGATTTCTTATTTTCTTTCCTTTCTTTAATTTGCTTTTTTCTTTCTTTTCCTTTTATGGAATGGATATATATATATATATATATATATATATATATATATATATATATATATATATATATATTTGTTTCTTTGCCTTCCATGTAAAATTTTCAAAAATGTTAAAAAGTGATGTTTCATAAATCGTATTTTTAAATAAAATCGTTTTTTACCACCATTGTTAATTGCCTGACAAGACATCTTTTGGATGTCGAAACAAATATGCACTTTTTTTTTTTTTGTCACAGTACTTTGCATGTTCCATTGTAACAGTTTATAAAAAAATATATATATATATATATGTGTGTGTGTGTGAAAAGTGTATATAAATATAAATAAATATATGTATAATTATTTATATATTATATGCGCGGTACTTATTAGAAAGCGCTCAATATCAGAGATAGAGCTAATATATTTGGTTGGATGGATCCAACCAAATATATATATATATATATATATAATGTCCTTGTTCTTGAATCTTTAGGAACATTAGAAGGATTACTTTTTATAAATGAGGAAATAAATAATTATACACAATTGTTAGTCACACTCTTGCTTTCATCCCATGTTAAATGCTTGACTTGGATTACATTGATGGCAACTGCAATAAATTAGATGACTGAAGAATTCTCATTTGTAAAACTCATTGTGTACGATAAACACTGTTTACAAGCTGATGCACTTGTAATGAAATCTGATCTAATTTCAATATTTAAAAGCTTTGATAACTGAAACAGGTTTAGTATGACATGTTTGGCCTTTTAAAGGAAATGTCACTCAATTGATTTTTACCTGTTAATAAAATGGCAAAATATTCATCTAGGAATTTGAAAGTAATATATTTGAAAAGATTGAAAATTGAACCAAGGAATAAGACTGGAGTTCATCTTATGTTGATTCATAAAAGTTTCCAATTTGATGTTTTTTTAATTTTAGATTTAATGTTATCCTATTGTTTTTCAAATGATTTAAATAAATTTAAATGAAATTTAATTAAATTAGATAAATGCCAAGGAAATGCAGAAAAGTTCTCAGCCCAATCCACTTCCTAAGATCTGACCAAATGACCAATCTCATTAGAATTTATTTTTTGGCAGTCACTTTTTGGTTGGTCCAAAAACTTTTCAGCACTTTCTCATAGATGAAGTGAAGATTTTATGTGCATTTGAATATACTAAACGTTAGGAAAATATATTGTAATAAAACCTAGTTTTTACTTTAGCTCAAACTTGATGCAAATTTACTGCCATTTCAGCCGCAAAATAGACATAGGTTAAAATAATCCCCAAATTAACCCGGTTTTGTATTTGTAGGTGTCTAACCAACTTCTACCTAGGTAAGTAGATTAATCAGTCAGTAGTCTGGTGATTAAAATATTTATTCTATATAATACAGATAGGTATTGATGGAAGGAAGAATGAATATAGAGAGACTGATTGATAGATAAATCAATATAGAGAGACTGATTGATAGATATGGAGAAACTTGAGATAAATAGGAAGGGACTGGGATATATAGATTGAGAGAGATATGAATATTGGTATAAACAGATTGAGAATGATTAAAAAGGCAAAATAATCTTTTTCAAGATGGAATACATCATGAAAAATCTTTTCATTTTTTTTATTTTTTCTAAATATCTGTCTGCTGGTGTGAATTTTTCCACAATTGTTTTTTAATCATTTATTTTTCAGTTTGAATTTCTGGTATGAGGAATTCTCATTATTTGCAGTCAGACTAATGTCCTGACCTTTGTTTTTGTTATCACAACATTTCAGTTGCTGTGTTCTCTGGCCTCCTTTATGTGTCTGTCATGCCAGATAATCTTCAGGAAATTTCAAACAGAACCCTTTATTTAATCTACAGGGGTAAATTGTTCTTGTTCCACTGTAAATATTCCTAGACAGGAACAGCAGAAGGAGAATAATCTATCCTGTAGATTTAATAAAATGTTTTGTTCAAGATTCCCTGAAGGTTACCTGGATTTACAAATACCTGAAGAAGGTTGGAAGGCACAACAGCTAAAATGTTGTTACAACAACAACAAAGATGAGGACAATAGTCCAAATGTAAATAATCATTTAATTTTGTTTTTAATCATTTTAAATTACTTGTTAAGATTTGAATTTGTTTTCTTTCTTCTTATTTTCTGGCGCATATTAACGCACTTCCATCTTAACCAGGATATGTCATTTGATCTCTGCTCACCTGAAAATATTTATAACAACATTTATTGATATTCTCAGGTGTTTTTTTTTTTCCTTTGTAGATTTAAATCAATATTTAAGGGTATTTTTTTGTATTACATATGTACTAGATGAAATACCCATATGTGTGACCAATATGAGCATATGATTTAAATCACAGCTTGTTATGACAACAGTAGAATGAGTACCGTAATGGTGAACTGGTAAGACTAGGACATCAGAGTTAATTTATTCAAAACTGCACCATATATATATATATATATATATATATATAACATTAATTTCAGATAGAGTGTATCTGTAAAGTAACAAAATGAATAAAAAACAAGAGGAAAAACTATTCTTAGCCAACACGTTTCATCCTCTGAGGCACTTTATTGAGGCAAATGTATGATCTATTTTGTTGCACATGTTTATATACAAGAGCAAGAATGTCATTGGCTAGCCGTCCTAGTAGATAGGTATCCTTGAATAAGAGTGGCCAGCTATACATACACATATACAAAATTAGGAAGTGGTTGCTTGTTTGCTATGTACAGATAAACTATTTAGTGTAAAAGCCTTCAAATTTGGTGGATCCAATGGAATGTTTTAACATTAAAAGACATTGTTCATTGTGAGGAAAAAGTTGTTTTTATGAAAATTGTTTTTATTTTCCATTTCCCAAGTACTTTCAATCTTCTTCCAAAATCAGGGGTTAAAGTAGTAATAGAATGCAAGTAGTAAAAAAAAAAATGTTTTTTGATATCCATTAAACACAGTTTTGTATTACTACGTACAACCTTGATCTTGAAAGAAGATCGAAAGTACTTGGGAAATGGGAAATAAAAACAATTTCTATAGTTATAGCACATTTCTCATATCATTTTATTGCAATACATGGAAGGTTATCCATGTGTATGAACAGATTTTATTAAAGATAAGTAGATGCAATGTCTGTAATTTATTTAAACAGACATGCCTAAAAAAGAATTTTCTGCTTAAATATACAAATTTTAATATATATATATATATATATATATATATATATATGATTAATATAAAATGATTGATGTTATAAACTCGCCAAATAAAAAATGTACTTACACAGCTACATGCAATCAAATTTTTAATTAATTTTGACAGAAAAGTAGATGACAAGTTATCTAACCAACATATGACACAGATATGAAAGGTGCAGAAAAGTTCTTGGCTCAGTCCACATCACAAAATCTAACCAAACATCATAAATTTTTGTTTAATCCCTTCAAACCCAAGACTTTTCACCTCCTCCTCCTCTCAGTATATTTTTTGAATGAGTGCCTTCAACGGTGATGTTAAATGCCAACAATGACTTCGCTTGGAAATTCAAACAAAAATATATTGAATACGTTTCTTATTAAATAGTCATTACAATTTTATTTGTAGTTAATTTTTCTTGAGAATGATTTGAATAAACATTGAAATAGGAATAAAATCAGCCGCATTTTTTGCTTTGTTTTTGTTGTAACCTAGAAAGGGTTACTGAATGGGGAATAACTAAAACAGAGGTTGAAAATGAAATGGTAATCTTTATAACATCAACAAAATACAATACTCGCCAGCAGCGGGAAATAGGTAAACCACTTCTAGTGGTGGACTACTTGAACAACATATTACCCCCCCACTTATAATAGTGTCCAACGTATTTATGAGGATTGGGACATAGCCATTAGTTTTCATAGGTATATTATATAACAAATAGACAGGCAGACCGACAGATAGATAGATAGTGTTGTAACCTAGAAAATGTTACTAAATGCGGAATAACCAAAATGGAGATTGGAAATGAAATGATAATTTTTATAACATCAAAAAAATACAATATTCACCAGCAGTATGATGTAGGTAAACCACTGCTAGTGGTGGCTACTTACACAGTATTACCCTCACTTACAATAGTGTCCAACATATTTATAAGGATTGGGAGATACCCATTAGTGTTCATAGGTATTGGTATATAACAGTTTCTCAATCCTTCTTAATTTGACATTTAGTCTTTGAGAGAAAATTGCAAAAACTGGCCAACAAAATGATAATTTTGATCTATCAGCATTTAGAGAACATAAATTGATTTCAAATTTATTCTTTTCTGAAAATGGATGTTGCTTTAATTTTAACCATTATTTCACAAGGAAAATAATGAAAGTCTTTCATCAAAGAAATGTTGTCAAATTCAGTTTCTTGAATGTAAATAATATTTATAATCATTGTTTACTAATTTTTATCAAATGAATTTGAAAATTTAACATAAATTAATAAAACTTACATCAGTTTTAATTATTCTTATAACATTTTGTCTCTTCATTTCTCTTTTATAGAGACAAATTGAACTTTATACTTGCCAAAAAAAAGCAACACATTCTAAAATTTCTTTTTCTTATGTTTCTTTTTAATATAAAGAAAAACATCTGCATCAATTCTGTTGGCTTGCATTGATTGTTTTGATGATTGATATGGATTAATAAAGTAATTAATTTATTGCAAAATATATTAACCTCAAATTTGCTTTAATTTCTCATAATGTTGCATCTTTATAAGTTTGTTTTGTGAACTTTGTTGAATTAAACTATCTTTGCATTAATTTGGAGTATAATCACAACTGTTGAACTGATATATTTTAAGTGCATTTGACTCTATTGCATTTCTCTCTTCTTTGCAGGTGACACGTCTTCACAAAAGATGCACTTACTTACGGTACAGCAAATAATGCAAGCAAGAAACCGGATCAAAAATTACGTGCGACGGACTCCGCTAGAGTTTTCACCGTTCTTGAGCCAACGTTGCAGAGATTCCAAAGTTTATATTAAATGTGGTAAGTAAAAATGAAATGACGAAATTAAATTTCCACTTGAGAATATTTTTATGTCATACTGAAAGAAAATAGAAATATCTAAAGGAAACTCAGAATCTTTATAATGATCATATTTATATGAATATGAAGAAGAATTTCCTGATTACAATTTAAGGCTCACAGATGAAAGGAAAATTTTTATATATATATATATATATATATATATATATATATATGTGTGTGTGTAATGACAAAAGGAAAACTTAGCCAATGTGTTTCATCCTTAAATGGATCTTAGCAAGGCAAATATAAGGATTTTATTTTGCAACAAGTTTTTATAAACAGAAATAAAAATATCATTAGTTTTTCAGAATTTTAAATTTAAGAATGCTCATAAATATTCATAAGGCTACCTGAAAGTTGAGATAAACTATGGAAGATGCTAAGTGATGTAATTTAATGTCTAATAAATAAAAGTGAGTAAATGTAGAATTTTTTTATAATGAAATTATATTATTTTAGTTTGTGTTTAATTTATGTATTAAATATTTTAAATAATAGATTTTGAATTTAACAATTTAATTTAATTTAGGAAAGGAGATATTTGAAAAAAATCTGGGATGGAGATTTATATTTTGGTAAGATTCGATAACAGCACTGATGAATTTTCCATCTAAGTTTCTTTTAATAAATATCACCTTTAGATCGAAGTTGTGGTTGAACACCTTCAAGTCATCTGGAGATCACATGAGTGAGAAACTAATATATATATATATATATATATATATATATATATATATATATATATACATAAATAAATAAAAAATATATATATATATATATATATATATATATATATATATATATATACCTCACTCTACATAGTTATTTAGTTCCAGAGGGGTCATGACTTAGGGTGAAAAACAACTTAAGTTGAAATAACCACACTATAAACCCGAAATAAGCACTCCCCATTGCCTACTACAATATTTATGATATGTATGTACAGTATTCTGAATAAAATAATTAATTTCCACCTTATCTTCTAGCGATATAGCTTTATGCTTAGCCTTAACACTTGCACTGGGACTTTTCCTCAAAGCCATAAGCAAAAATGTATTCTAAATCACAATTGAAATATAACTGAAAGAACGTCAGTGGCAGAGCACAGATGTAAACAAGTCTGAATTCAAAATCGGTGTGGGAGCAGAAAACAACACAAGTGCCGCCTGTAAGCAAGAATTTGAAATAAGAACAGCCGCTGAACATACTTTTTGTTATTCTATTTTTTGTTTTATGTTTTGATGATTTTATGACATATATATATATATATATATATATATATATATATATATATATATATATATATATATATATATATACAGTATTATTTTTTAAATGTGTTTATTGTTATTTTAGTGTTTGACATTTCTAATATTTTACATAAACTCGAGTAAAACAACCTAAAGCAAGTTTTATTTTTCCATATAATATTTAAGAAAAACCAATGTCTCTTCGAAAATGACAACTTGAAACGACTTAAGTCAAGGTATCTATATATATATATATATATATATATATATATATATATATATATAATTATTTTGGTAGGTACACGTTTTTTTGATTTTCTATCCCTGTTTTTTTTTATTTTTCTTAAACAGTTAAATAACAATCAGACTAGATTGAGTAATCCTATCAAAGAAAAATTGTTGAGTGTCGGTACTTCTCAACCCAGGTTGGTTGTTATTAATGTCACTGTTTAAGAAAAATAAAAAAAAAACAGGAATATCAATAACATGCATACCCATTGAAGCTAACATTAAAGTAAATACAGACCCATTCAGCATTTATATTTAACTTTGGGTGTACAGTGTATCTAGCCGATCTCATTCAGTTTTTTTATCAATTTTATTTTTATCATACCACATTGTATTAGTCATTTTGTGACTATTTATCATAATAGGTTTGACCATGTGTTCAAATTAAAGCAGTTTTGATTAAAAAAGGAAATAATTTATTAAGGCAAAAATATATTAAATATGCACTAATATTGGAATTGTCTGCAATAAATTTCTGCCCTGGATCGTAAATATATCTCCCTTCCTCGCCAATTTACTACTAGTACAATGTGATCGAATTAAAAACGGTAAGAATAAAAACAAAAGTGACAGACTAAGTGAAACATCAAAATACATCAGATTTAAAATTTAAATGCCAAGCATCTCTGCACATTTAGCATTTCAGTGTAAATAGTTTCCAGCATTTGTTACATTTCTCTCTTGTCCTTTCTTCCGCTTTTTATTAACAAGATTGATTTCATCCATAAAAACCATTATTTGTCTGAAGAAGTTCCTTCCCAGAACGAAATGTGTCATTAAAAAGATTTTCCACTTACCTCACCCCCTACAAAATGTGCACACATATATACACCCCCAAATCTAATCATCCTCCATCTATAATTAAGCATATACCTTTATCTATCAAAAAAAGAATAAGTACAAATTCAGCAAATGAAGAGATTTTCTATGAACATATTAATTTCTATAATAAAGCTCTAAAAGATAGTGGCTACAAAACCCCAAAACTAACTTATATAAAAAAGGAAAATGGAAAGCATAGAAAAAACAGAAGTAGAAAAATAATTTTGTATACACCCCCATACAACCAAATGGTAAAGGATAAATTAGGACAAAAATTCCTTACATTAATCATTAAACATTTTCCTAAAGATAGTAAACTCAGTACTACTCAGTACTGAAAACTTAGAGAAAATTATTAAGAAACATAATGCTAATATTGTGAATAAACACTTAGTCCAAAACCAAAGAAATTTAGACAGTATAAAAATAAAAAGAGATGAAGATAAGCAACAATTATGTAACTGCAGAAATCCTCATAACTGAAATAGCTATTCTTTGCCGATATTGTCAAAAATTTTCCTTAAATAATATTTAAAAATAAAATAAATTTAAAAAAAAGAGGGGGCTGATAATATACATACTTATATTTGATATGTGATAATAATTTTTAAATAATTTAAGTAATTCTATTACATTTATTTGTTTTAAAAAGAAATATACTCTTAGTAATTAAAAGTAAAAATAATATTTTAAAATTGTAGTTCAATACAACATATTCTAATCCAAACAGCCCTTTTAGAAAGAAACTTTATATAATGGAAAAAAATGCCAAAAAACTTTTTGTGGTTGATAAAAAACCAGACAATATGCGTTGAATGGATGTCATAATTCGTTGAAAAAGGCACCCCTACCCTACCTAGACTTAACCTCTTTTCAGACGTAACTCATAATTGATACAATAATAGTTAATAAAAATGAACACGCTACCACCCCTGTCTAAATGATTAAATTTTCTGTATCCTTGAAAGAAAAAATTATTAGTATATGTGCTTTTAGAACTCAGTAAATTTCAAAATAAGTTATTCCAAAATTCGCTTGAAGATGAAACAGAACTAATGTTTTTAATCTAATTATATAATTGAATTTGAAGTTTTTAGTTTCTGTTTTTGAAACATGGTGATTCCTGTGCAGCGATGGAACCATATTTTTAAATCAGTTAATTTATGATATTTATGCTCTATAAACTTACATTGAACACTGTTTTGTAAAAATAAAAATATCAATAAGAACACCGGATTATATATCTTACTGTTCTTTCTTTTTTTACTATAATATATATATAAGGTGTGCTATAAATTTAAGAATACATCTATAGCAGGAAACAAATACTTATTTTGAACAATTTGTGGAATAATGACTTCTTTCCAGATTCCATTTGTTTGTTTTTATTTACTTTCAAAATTTAACTCTTCTTGTTCAGAGCTTTGAACATTTGGTGGGAAGGGGTTAGTCATTTAAACTAAAAGACTGATTTTTTCCTCTGGTCACAATAACAGTAAATAAATGGCATTTCTTAATGAATCAAACGTGGCACTAAGCAAATAAACAGAAAAAATCTCAACGATAATCAAAATGAAATAAAATATCATCATCATTGCTATAATTAAAATAATGAAAACCATAATCACCATCATCAAAATAATGAAAACAATGACAACAATGATCATCATCACCGCTGTAATTAAAATAAGGATAATCATGAAGAATAATCTTCATAATCCAAATAATCCACTTTAAATTAATTTTTTAAAATGGATTATGTCCTTTTTATAATCTTTGTTTTTGTTTACTTCTGATAATTTTTGAAATTTTCAGTATGGCAGTATTGATTATTATACTTAAACCATGTATGACCAGTGGGAAGGATAATAGGAAGATTGTGTTGCTCCAATCTTCCAACTGGCTGGAGCCTGCCTAGAAAATCAGCATTGAAAATCCTACATTTTACCAAAGTTCAAACACAAAATTCTGGTACCCAGGGTGGGGAGTGGGGAGGATATGTAACGCTCCTAAATATGCACAACCTCCCCAATATGACATAATAATCAAGATAATAGAAATAGAAAATATAATATGGTATGTGTTTTTTTTTTTTTGCTTTAGAGAACATTAAAAATGCTGATTTAACATATTGTTATGTATTATTTGCTCAATTTCAATCTTTATCTCTTCAAAGTATTTGCTGCCTTAAATTTACCAAATCTCTACAAAATAAAAATTAGGTTTCAGATTTTGATTTGTGTCAATTCAAAAGAAAAAAATTATTTAAGAAAGGGATTAATTTTCTTCTCAAAACGTATTCGTCATTTGAAGCTTTTTTGGTTGGCAACTTCTCCAGTTTCATCAAGCATCCTTTCTTCTTTTTTTCTTCTTTTCCTTCTTTTTTCTTTTCCTTCTTTTTTCTTTTCCTTCTTTTTTCTTTTCTTCTTTTTTCTTTTTCTTCTTTTTTTTTTTTTTTTTTTTTTTTTTTTTTTTTTTTTTTTTTTTCTTTTTCTTTTTTCTTCTTTTTTCTTTTTCTTCTTTTTTCTTCTTTTTTCTTCTTTTTTCTTCTTTTTTCTTTTTCTTCTTTTTTCTTTTTCTTTTTTCTTTTTGTTTTTG